TCTCGTCTGCCTCCTCTCAGAGCATCTGCCATCGTGGCGATGACGTGGAAGGGACGATAGTTACCCAGAGCATGGGGCTGCCGCAGACAGCAGTGGCACCGGGTTATTTTTCACCTCCTTTTCTTGGTTGTGAGTGCTAAGAAGTGGACGTTCCTGCCCGTTGGAAAAGACTTTGAGGACTGCTTCTCTGTTCTTAGAAGTTCGTGCTTTTAAAGGTGGCTACGTAGACTTGAATAATTTCTAGTCACTTCCTAACCGGCTGAGCTGTCGTTTCCTTCTCCCTTATGTTCCTTCTCTCTTTAAGTTCTATAAATGAAACTGCTGTAAGCGTTTCTAATGCATAGAGTTTTCCCATAGCTTCCCCAGTATAGATTTGGAAAACTGACTAGTTTCTCAGGTGTGATGGGCATGTCTGTGGCTGTTGAGCCATATTAACAGGGTCCTTTCCAAAAGTGGGTAGTGTAAGCCATTTCAGCCTTGACTTCTAGGTAAAATACAGCCTCCATCACGATTCCCTCCACAGCTGTGTGCCCTCCTTTTCAAGCTTGCAGGTTTTGTTCCTTGTTTGAGGGAGGGCTGCTTCTGGAATTGGCATTTGCAGTGCAGATTCAGCTGACTTAAACTATAACTGAGCTGGTTCCAGTCTCAGTGGCACCTGCTGCTGCCTTCAGAGGAAGTGGTGCCCTGGTGTGATGGTTGGCACACAGTAGGTGTCCCGTCTATTTCAAATGATTGAATGGAAAGAGCACAGACTCTAGCGTTGAGACGATCTGGGCCTGAGTCTTGGCTCAGCTGCTTAGCCTCTCTGTTCAGTGAAGATGTTGATGGTGAGAGCATTAGTACTGCTAATAGCTACGATAACAGGTATGTCTCCTGAAGTAATGTATGAGAGGGTGTGGCCAGTCTCTACACTTAGAGTGCAGGCTGCCGTTGTCAGCATGGTCATCCTTCGGGTAGTCAGCCTTCTTTTCGTTTTGTACGTCTGAGAACTTACGATTGGATAGCACAGGTCTCCTGGAAGGGGGTTGCATCTGTATACACAGAAATGGCAGGATTTGAAATGGTGATGGGGCAAAAGGAGGCAGCTCGTTTGGAACCTGGGGCTTATGCAGGGTCGCTTGGTTCAGCCTGGGAGGAGGGGACTGGACCTGCCTGGACTGAGTATATCAGGTCGATCTCAGTCCTCCTCGGGGGAGTCTTTGCCCTGGAGGAGATTGGAATGGGGGGTGGGCAGGGGGGAAGGGGAGGGGGGCGGGAGAGTGGAGAACAAGGGAATCCGTGGCTGATATGTAGAATTGAATTATATTGTAAAATAAAATTATTAAATTAAAAATAAAAAAAGGAGGCAGCTCTTCAACAGGGTAGGCAAAGGATGTCAGTGCAGACTGCCATTTATACGTCACCTCCTTAGCCTGCCTGTGTCGTTAGGAAAGGGCTTGGGGAATAGTGGACAGCCTAAGCTTCCTGGAAATAATTGTACAATTCACTGTGTTACTGAAAAAAATGTTCAGGGGCTGGAGAGATGGCTCAGAGGTTAAGAGCACTGACTGCTCTTGCAGAGGACCTGGGTTCAATTCCCAGCAACCACATGGTGCCCTCTTCTGACCTGCAGACATACATGCAGGCAGAACACTGTATACATAATAAATAAGTCTAAAAAAAAAAGTCTTAAAAAATAATTTTGCAAACATGCAAAGCAATGTTTTCCATAAAACAAAAGCCAACTGCTGAGAAGAACAATGAGAATCAGATCTGTACACCAAAACATAACATGCCTGAGGCCCCAGGTTCGATCCCCAGTACTGCAGACAAATCTAAATAAAAGGGAAACTGCACGTCTCCTGTCTTCCATTACAGATCTTCTCACATAGCTCCAACCCCTGCCCCAATCACCACCAAAGCCACAATAAGACTCCAAGCCACAACATAGTCAAAAAGTTAAACAAAACAGAATCACTGAATCTCTTTTTAGGGATAGGGAGGATGCTTTTCAGATAAGTGGCCGGTCCAAATGCTGCAAACCTTCATGAAACATAAATCATGTGGACTTCAATGATAAAGTAGTTCTCAGAAACCGAGAAACCTAACTGCAGCTTCATTAAGGCCGATTAGGAAGAAGGGGAATTCTGATCTAGAGCTACAACTCTGAGTCCCAGCACTGCCCATGGAGTGATGTGACCTGGGATGATCAGCTGCTCTTTCCCGATCCCTGTTTGCCTCACCTGTAAAGCCAGTGCCTGGAAGAGCAGACAGATGGCAGACAGGCCTCCCTCACAGCGCTGAGCCTGAGAATCCTTCAGTAGTGACTCCTTAGATTTGTTCAGAGAAAGCCAGGCTCACGTGGTGAACTAACAGGATCGATTAGTGATGTCTGTCACAGGTGAAGGGCTAGGAGCTGGGTCAGGGAGTGGCAGTGGTCATGTGGTTATCACATCCCGGTGAGATGCTTCCACATCTCAACCCTCCTGGAATGTTCTCTCGTGTCTCGTCATTTCTTATCATGGAGCACATCTTACATGTTGAAAGTAGAGCTGTTTGCTTTGTCAGAGCTCTCCTTTTTATAATCAGCCTGTGTAGGAAACCTTTTCCAGCTTATCTTTACAGTAGAAAAGATATTTGATAGGAATTTTGAGAAATTATTGAATATTAAAAGGTGTCAACTTGGGCATGCCTTTAATCCCAGCACTCGGGAGGCAGAGGCGGGTGGATCTCTGTGAGTTCAAGGCCAGCCTGGGGCTACAGAGTGAAACCCTGTCTTGAAAAAAAAAGAAAAGAAAAAAAGGGGGGTGGTGGCAACCAAATTCTTGAAACCCTGTGTATAATAAAGACTTAGTAGGTATTAAATAAGAAGGAGGATGAGGTCTGTGTGGGAATTTGAAATCGGGGTTCGAAGGCTGGGAGGTTATGACTACAGGACTGACTGCGGTGATGGGAGCCGGTTGGTGGAGCTGAGGCATGGTCTTGAGACCTTAGTGAAACTACACAGAGCACAGTCCTCGAGGAGTTGTGCAAATGCTAGTGTGGCCTGGCATCCCTCCTGGAGCATAGTCGGTACAGGATTAGTGCTCTAACACCTCAGTGTTCCATCTCACTACTTTCTGTCTCGTGTAGCCGAAGACATTTGCGTATGGCTCAAATTAAAAGTTGGGAATTGCAGAGATTTTGTGCTTTCCCTCATTTCTATACAGTACTTCATCACATTAATCAGTTCTGTGGGAGAAATTTTCTGTTTGAAAATGCCTCTCATCATCATTGTGAGTGAGATGTCAGGGATAATGATGGGAACATGGTGGATCAGCTCAGGCACTAGCGATAGGCAATTTGCAAAATTGTGTTTGCTTTACAGCACTTCCACGGGAGGTTTATTTGTGTGGATGAAGCTATGAAATATGGATGTATGTTAGAGGTACATTAATTTACTCTAGCAGCATGCGTTTTACATACCATATGTTTATAGTTAATTAGCACAACAAACCCGCATTTAAAAATAATAATAATCTCAATTAGGTTATGCAAAATCGAGCAATCAGCCACCTTCCTGACACATGCATTCTCTAGCTCCTTGGGAAACCATAAAGCAACTGCCCCCCTCCATCTGCTGTTGTAGTGCACAGAACATCCCACTCAGTAGAAGTCTTCCCACACTCTAACTCTCCAGCATTTGAAAGTTTTCACAAGATTCTCTGGGGAAGAATGGTTTTCCTTATGACACTCGTAAGTTTGCATGCAGGGTATCTTTTGTTGAATTTAATAAGGTACCACATATATTCAGGCCCACAAAGGAGTGCACTGGGGAAACATTATAAATTTAAATCCCCTTAAAAGAAAACTACTTAAACTACTATTTTAGGTTGATGTTTTAAGTAAAATCTATTCTTGTGTCTTGCCTCTAATAGGTAACATATATTCATAGGATTTTGAAAGTTGGAAAGAAACGTAGAGGTAACCTGGGCTGACTTCCCAATGTAATAATCGTCTCTGCTAAATTCATGACAAGCACTCATCGAGCTTCACTCCAATGCTTTCGGGGCGCAGAGTCCTACAGCCTTACAAGGCAACTCAATTTATTTAATAGCTCTAATCGTTAGAGAATTTTCTCATATTGAGATAAAATATGCTCCCCATTAACTTCTAACCATTGCTCCTGGTTCTATTCTCCGAGGCAATAAAGGATAAGTCTAATTTCTATTCCATATGATACCCCTTCAGTTATGAACTAGCTGTCAGTTCTTCCCAGTCTTTTCTGAGCAAACACCCCCAATTTGTTAAACTATAAATCCTATTCATTGCTATTATTTTCAGTAGAAATGAGCCGGTTTTATCAGTGTCTTTCTTAAAATGTGGGGACTGAATGCAGGGCTGCAAATGGGAGCTAACTCAGTCCTCGCTTATGGGGATGCTGTGCATATGCAGAGGCCTCCAAGCAGCCTACATGGACCACAGTCAGCATGACTGAGGACGGCCCCGCTGGCAGCCAGTCAGAAGCCCTGGGGGCGGGGGCTTCCCACATGCTCCTTGCCTCCCCTCATCTCATCTTCTTAGCGTTTGCTCACTGCTGAAGCTTGTTAGTGAGCCTCAGGGAGTGCATTTCCTTCTAAATGTGGTAACCCTGAGTTAAACCAGAGCTGCGGAGAGGCAAGCAGTCTACCTTCAGAAGCCTGACCCCTAACAGTTTGGTTGAAGTGTGGAGAATAAGTACCATTGGGTATTCTGCCCCAAATGGAATTTGTTTTGTCTTTTGCTAATTTTTTTAAAGATTTATTTATTTTTATGTATATAAGTACTCTATCTGCATGCAGGAGAGGGCATCAGATCCCATTACAGACAGTTGTGAGCTACCAGTGTCGTTGCTGGGAACTGAACTCAGGACCTCTGGAAAGAGCAACCAGTACTCTTAACCTCTGAGGCGTCTCTCCAACCTCTTTTTTTTTTTTTTTTAATATTTCAAAAAGCTTTATTTTTACTTGGTTCAAGACTTGGCTGGGGGGTGGGGAGGGGTACAGGGTGGTTACAAGCTGCCTACTGGCTTGAAAGGTTCAGGTGGAGGTCCTGAGTCTGGCTGGTGCTGCGCAGAGGAGAGAGCCCACTTGGAAGGGGAGGTCTCCTAGTCATGCTTGACAGGGAGCTGCTCAAAGAAATACCTGCCCAGACATGGCTGTGGCATGCCAGTCTGTGCTGGCTGTGGCCCAGCCAGTCCTACAGAGGTTGGTCAGGTGCTTGCCCATCTTCTCATCTCCTCCCAGGAAGTGGTTTTCCAACAAGTTACAAGGTGAGGGTCTGTGTGGGCGGAACCCAGGAAATGAAGACCCCAGGGGGCCTGGCACAGGTTCTTCTCCAGGGCCAAGGCAGCTTCCATGGCCTCCTGGGTTTTACCCCACTCATCTTGAGATGACTGCTGCACAGCCTGGAAAAGTGCACCTCCGTGATTGTTCTGCAACTTGAGGAGGTGCCCTCATGCTTCTCCTTGGCCAGTTTGGGAAGAAGTGGCCAACACCCTCCAGAGCCACATCATCCCGATCAAAATAGCCCAGAGAGAGGTAGGTGTAGGAGACCCGCAGGTACAAGTTGACCAGGCAGTTTACGGCAGCTTGCACTTTGGTGGGGTAATTCTGATGAATCTAGGAGGTCATGGCTGATCCGAAACATGGAGCTAACCACAAAGAGATGGTGCTGGCTGGTCCTAGGAGCCAAAGCAACTAGAGAGACTAAAAGGTTGCTAGAAGCTAAGAAAGAGGGAGTCCCCAGCTCTGTTCCATCCAAACGTTGTTGAAGCAAGACACAGATCTGTGGGACCTCCTAGGCTGTGCTCTAACTGGAACTTTACATGTAATTTTTTAAATGTATTCTTTTGAGACTCTCATATGATGTATTCAGGTCATAACCACTCCTGCGCTTTCCCTCTCTTACTCCCCCTGAACCCCTGAAGTGGGACATGAATATCGGCATCCTTAACCAGTCTCAGGAAACATCACGGAAGAAGGAGGGAAAAGAATGTAGGAGTCTGGGGATGGGGAGGAGTGCTGTGAAGGGCCGTTTGTCTGGCCATGACGTGCCCAAAGCATTCATGAGCCCACAGTAGTTATGATGAACTGTACCAGATCTGTCAGCATCCTGCCGTGGATGGGAGGGTGGCTTGTGAGGATCTATCCCTAGCTAGGAGCTGTTGACAACCCATGGCTGCTGGAAGACCGGGAGTCATTTTTCTTCTAGGGTGTAGTTGCTGGTAGGTTGTCCATGCTGAGTGATGACCTCATGTATGCACATGCAGATAGTTCTGATTGGTCTCTCTCTCTCTCTCTCTCTCTCTCTCTCTCTCTCTCTCTCTCTCTCTCTC